TGTCAAATAATAATACTGTTTTTGTGGTAGCCCACAGATTCAGAATGCATTATTTTTTTCCCCCTTTCTTAATTGCTTCATGTTCTCTTTTCAAAATGAATTGCAATGAGGGAGGCCTGTGATTGGCCCAGGTTTTCTCAAACTGTGCTTCGATGAGATCATGCCCATTTGGGTCTTAATTCACCAGCCAAATTACTCTCTCTAATATCAGTCACTGTGTCATAAAGAGGAGGGGGAGGGAGAAAACTTTTTTTAAAACTGTAATTTACCTTTCATTTCCATTTGCGGCTATAATTTAAAAGAGAACAAAAGGGATTTTTAAAATATAATCAGCCACGTTTCCCATGGTAATTTCAGTCAGTTAGAATTCTATTGAAATGTCCTCCAGTCTCAGCTCTGCCTAGTCATAGCATTCTTTCCTTACCTCTGTGACAGGTTCTTGGTTCTTTTTAGGTGAGAAAGGTAAACCAGTTTAGCTAGTGTATTGTTAAGCTGAGAGTGGAAAGAAGGGTGTGGAGTGGCAGACAGGTCAGATGTGGAGAGTTGGGCTGGGTGGAAAAATTACTACCAAGAGTTGCTAGGAGCTTGAGCTCTGGTGTGGACAGGCACAAAATAAGGCCAGAAGAGGTTTACTGAGGTTACCCCATAGCCACCTAGTGGGATGAGTGAAAGAGGAGGAGAAGTGAGGCAGTGGAAGACATGGGAAGGAAAGAATCAAATTAAGGGAAAAGAAAAAAGAGATATTAAGCAGGGAAAAGAAAGAATTGCAGAAATAGGTTGGGAATGAAGTGGCTCAGACTGAAAACAAGAACTCCTGTGAAATAAAAATGTGGCCTAGCATAGCTGTACATAAATTTCTTAACTGGGTCTGGGGAGGGACAGTGCAGCTGCTCAGTTATTCAATCTAATATCTATAATACCAACAATCCAAGTGGTGAAGTGGATAGAGAGATGGCCTTGGAGTCAGAAAGGTCCCAACTCAACTGGCTTTCTCAATTGAATTTAATATTGAATTTTATTTGAAGTAAAAGCAGCATAATATAGCAGATAGAGGGCCAGCCTTGAATACAGACAGACCTGGGTTCCAGTTGCCTTTGCCTCATTCTGATTGTATGCCCTTGGGCAAGTGATTTAACCTCTCAGTGCCCCAGGCAACTTTCCAAGACTAGAAAGTGCCAGTCCTCTCTGGTGTTCAAAACGCCAATAAAATCATGGGTCCGGTCAGGAAAAAAACAAACTATAATGCTTGTTTTTATTTAAAAACATCTTGCAGATGTTGTCAGAATTAATATAAACCCAAAAGAGTGAAGTGGCTTTTAATCTTCAGAGCAAAGGTTCTCATCCCAATGTTTATTGTTGTTCTTACTTCATAATTAACTATGAGGAACAAGATGGCAGAGAAAACAGTGACTCCAAGGGAGACTTTAAATTTTTCAAGACAATATGCAGAAGGAGAAAGGGTCTGGAAATCAGAGAGAAGTAGGGGGAAGGAGATAGTATGAAGAAACCCACCTGCTCTCTTTCTCTCTCATACCCAGAATACTCTGGCATGGTAAATTGGGGTTACACCCTAAGCTTTGTAATCACAGGGGCTCTACACTGCTTCAGATTCTGAAATTCATACATGCCAGAGTCACTACAAGAGTTGACTCCCAAGCTTCATCAACTGTGGGCTACACGAGCTACCTTTGTTACCAGAGGCAGAAGCCAGGAAGGAAATTCTTACTTTTGGTGGGGAGATGGACACACGAGGGTGGGGTACAGATCATTTAAATATACTTCTAGGTAAACCAACCAACCAACCAAACTAAAGGTGGTTGATAGGGAAGGAAGTTATGAATACCCTCTGCATGTTGTAATAATCTTGTTAACCTCACAGTACCATTGAAATGGAGCATCTGGGTCACACAGTGGATAGAGTACTAGGCCTAAAGTCAGGAGGACCTGAATTCAACTCTGGCCTCAGACACTTACTAGCTATGTGACCTGGGGCAAGTTATTTAACCTTGTTTACCTCAGTTTCTTCATCTGTAAAAGGAGCTGGAGAAGGAGAGGACGAGCCATTCCAGTATCTTTGCCAAGAAAATCCCAAATGGGGACACAAAGAATCAGATAGGACTGAAATGACTCAACAACAGTCATTTAAATATTGCCTGGGAAGGGATATGTGCCTGGAGAAATAAAGCTAACTAATTTGAACAGGATCATTCTAGTGGAGGCCAAGCTTTCTGGCAAATTATGCTATGTGTCCTTTCATCCTTTCTCCCAATTCCCCCATACTTCCTTCCTTCCTTCCTTCCTTCCTTCCTTCCTTCCTTCCTTCCTTCCTTCCTTCCTTCCTTCCTTCCTTCCTTCCTTCCTTCCTTCCTTCCTTCTTTTGATGGGCAATTTGGGTTAAATGACTTGCCCAGGGTCACCCAGCTAGTAAGTGTCAAGTGTCTGGTCTGAGGTTGGTTTGAACTCAGGTCCTCCTGACTCCAGGCCCCATGCTCTATCCACTGTACCACCTAGCTGCCCCACCCCCACACTTTTATAAAAGGAATATAAGTTTAAAATGAATATCAAGATCACTGCAGGGAAAGAAGTCTTAAAAGGGCAACATGCTGTCTGAAAGCAGAGTATTTGTATGCTAGAATGTAAGCTTCTTGAGGACAGGGAACATGTATTGTTCTGCACAAGGTACTTAACATAATCACTACACAATAAATGCTCAATAAAAGCATCTTGAAGGAATTGAATGAATGAATGTTCTTCTTCTCCTCCTCCTTCTTCTCCTTCACTTTGTCCTCCTTCTTCTCCTTCACCTTGTCCTCCTCCTCCTCCTCCTCCTCCTCCTCCTCCTTCTCCTTCTCCTTCTCCTCCTTCTTCTTCTTCTTCTTTTTTGCTGTCCTAGCTCCACTGGCCAGACCCTGGTGCTAAGGTCAACATTTCAGATTTGATACCAGTCCTAACTGGTTGCCACTTTATAAAATCATACCACAGTCCAGCATTTCAGTCTTAGAACCCTATTTAAAAAACACTGAAGGTTCACTAATGCTTGTGAGCAACCCCAGATTTAAATAGAAACCATAGATAAGACTTGTACTTTGAATAAATGACTTAATTATTTCACCATCTCACTACTGGACATAAACTCTAAGCAAGTCAAAGGCAGAAATAAAATTCCAAATACTTCTTTGTGGTAACAAAGGACAGGGTACAAAGTGAATGCCCATTGATAGGGAAGGTAATGATGAAGCTACAGTATATGTATGTAGGGATGGGGGGAGAGAACAAATATTTATTAAGCACCTACAGTGTGCCAGGCACTATGTAAGCATTTTACAAATATCTCATTTGATCTTCACAATAGGTAGGTGCTATTATTGTCATTATTTTTACAGTTGAGGAAACTGTGGCAGGGAGCAATTATGTGCCTAGCCACACAGCTAGTAAGTATCTGAGGCTGTATTTGAACTCATCTCCTGATTCTAAGGCCAGCATTTTATCCCCTGTGCTGCCTATCTGCCTTATAAAATTAAGCAGTAAGAAATGAGGAATATGAGGAATTTAGAAAATACGGAAAGATTTATATGAACCGATACACAACAAAATGAGCAGAACCAAGAGAACCGTGTACACAATAATTGCAAAAACATAAATGAAAAGATCAGCAAATTAAAAACCAACTAAGTCATCCCCCAATTGATAAATGGTCAAAGGATATGAAAAGGCAGTTTTCAGATGAAGAAATTAAAGCTCTCTGTAATCATATGAAAAAAATGCTCTAAATCACTACTGATGAGAGAAATGCAAATCAAAACAACTCTGAGGTACCACATCACATATGGGGAATAGCTGAACAAGTTTGTGGTATATGAATGTAATGGAATACTATTGTGCTATAAGAAATGATGAGCAGGTGGACTTCAGAAAAACCTGGAAAGACTTGTATGAACTGATGTAGAGTGAAATAAGCAGAACCAGGAGAACAGTGTACACAGTAATAGCCACATTGTGTGATGATTAACTTTGATAGGCTTAGCTCTTCTCAGCAATGCAAGGGTCTAAGACAACTCCAAAAGACTCATGATGGAAAATCCTGTCCACATGCAGAGAAAGAACTATGGAGTCTGAATGCAGATCCGAAGCATACTATTTGCTCTTTTGTTCTTTCTTGTGGTTCCTCCCATTGGTTTTAATCCTTCTTTACGACATGACTAATGTGAAAATGTTTTATATGAATGTATACGTAGAGCCTATATCAGATTGCACGCCGTCTTGAGGAGAGGGAGGGGGAGGAAATTTAAAACTCAAAAGCTTATGAAAGTGAATGTCGAAAACTAAAAATAAAATAATTAATTATAAAGAAAAAAGAAAAAAAAACAGCTAAGATCTTAGGCAATGGAAAATAAAACATGTCTCCCTTCTTGTGGAAAGGAGACAAAGAACCATTTATTCTTATGAGACAATACTGTAGATATTAGATATATTTACATTGTATCATGTGTTTTATTGTTTTTGTCATAAAGTACAGTTTATTCTGGGTGAAGAGGGATTCAAATAATTGAGATGTGATGATAGAAATAAAACATTTAAAAAAAGACAAACCCACCCAGACACACTCAGAGTAAACAACAGAACTAAATTAAAGGGTTGAGAATAAGCTACCATACGTGAAGAGGCTAACTTTGGCTCTGACCATGGCTGAATTTTCTAGGTTTCAATAGGATACTCTATGCTAAAGAGAGTGCAGATACACCATAAACATTGATATCAATATAGGAAATTGATCATGATTTTTTTTTCCTTTTATGGAGAAATCATTAGAGATTTTTCTCTCCCTTGATTTTTTTTATCAATTATTTCTGTTTAAACACACTGGCAATGGCTTTTTCATAAATCAAATAGACATAAAAGTCTTAGAAATGTCTGCATCTTAACCCAGTAATATAGTTTGTATGATTTCCCCCCCCCCCAGTTCCATTCTCACTTTGTGTTTTTACCTTTATTTATTCTAGGAAGCAGAATGTGCATATACCCTCTTTGTGATAGCCATCTTTTGGATCACAGAAGCTTTACCTCTGCCTATAACAGCTTTGCTGCCTGGCTTAATGTTCCCCTTGTTTGGAATCATGCCTTCTAAGGATGTAAGTTCTTATGTAAATTCTCCCTCCCCATCCCCAATTATGTTGTTCTTTCACATGCCACACATTCAGTAATCACAGAGTATCAGCTGGAAGGGACATTGGAGTTTGTTGTCTCTGTCCACTGTAGCAAATCTGGGTTGTACAGGTTTTCACAGGAGAGTCATATGGTGATGCTTAAAGCAGTAGGCTTTTATCATAGATTTATAGTGAGTCACACCTGGTAGTTCATAAGTCTCCAAATGGAAACCCTGAGGGTGGTCACAGGCCATGAAGCAAAACCAATGTCAAGGTCAATGAAGGGTAAATGGGATTGGGGAAGGAGGGGAGCCTAGGAAGCATTTTGGGATATAAGCAGGGAGGTTGCCAGAACCTCTGGCTATGGCAGGAGGAGGAAGAGATGTCAACAATGGTCCTGAGAGAGGCTTACCTCTGGGCTTGGCACAACTGGATTGTACAAAACTCCTGTAAGTTTGGTATATGTATGCCTGGGTTATTTCCTTCACACATTTACCGGTCCTCAGGCCAGCAGGATGAGGGATCTTATTTAGATTTGCCTTATTGAATTCCCAGCTGTAATGTCATAGATAGGTAGACTCCAGCTAGGAAGGTCCAATGAATAATAGCATGGGACTAGAAGTTTCCAGTCTTTCCTGCTTATATCCCAAAATGATTCCTAGGCCCTCCTCCTTCCCCAATCCCATTTATCCTTCATTGATCTTAACGTTCATCATGCTTCATGGCCTTTGACCATCTTTAGGGTTTTCATTTGGAGACTTCCCAGGTGTGACTTAATATAGGCATGTGATAACAGTTTCCAGTAGATTTTTAGATATGGAGAATCCTGAAAAGGGAGGGGTCACTGTGCTTGTTGGGTACCTTCATGACACTTGTAGATCTCCCAGGGGTGGGCATTGGGTTTGGACTACCAGTACTCATCCAATCCAACTCACTCCTTTTACAGGAAACTGAGGTCTAGAGAAGTAAAATGACTTTCTAGGCTAACAAATGGCTAATAAATGCAACTAAATCACAGCTAATAAATGGAAACGCCATGGCTAGAACTGACATTTCCTTACTTTCCATCCACTGTGCTTTCTCTCATCTCCTGCTTCCTCTATTTGCTGTTAGCATTTGTAGGACATAGAATAATGGAGTTAAAAAAGAGGCTAGAATTGAATAAGAAATCAGCTCTGGCAAGTCACAGTCCTCCACAGGTACTCACTACGTAACCTCAGGCAAATCGCTTCACCTCTCTGAACCACAGTTTCCTCATCCTTGAAATGGAAAAATAGTACATTTGTTCTACTTGCTCTCCAGGATTTCTGTCAAAAAGCAATTTATGACCTGTAAATCCCTATATAATTGTAAGCTATTAGGCAACATGATGTAGTGGCAAGATAGCTAGTCTTAGAGCCAGGCACACTTAGTTCAACCTCTGACACATATTGACTGGGTAACTTTGGGCAAGTTATTTAACCTCTGCAGGCTCTGTACAACTCTCTAAAACTATAATTTGCAGAGAAGTTTCCAGCTTGCTTTGGTAGAAGAGTTCTCTGTAGTAAAGTAATCAAAGATCCCATCCCTATCCATTGTTGTTGGGTTGTTTTCAGTCTTGTATGATTCTCTGTGACCCAATTTAGGATTTTCTTGTCAAAGATACTGGACTGGTTTGCCATGTCCTTTTTCAGCCCATTTTACAGATGAGGAAACTGAGGCAAAGAGGGCTAAGTGACTTGCCCAGCGTCACACAGCTAGCAAGTGTCTGAGGCCAGATTTAAACTCAGGAAGATAAGTCTTCCTGACTCCAGGCCTGGCCCTCTATGCACTGAATCACCTAATTCCTCTATTATGATTATGTAAAGCATTGAAAAGTTTCCCATATGAGTCCTCAAACCACCCCATCTACTCCCCCAGCCCCACACTGCAGCTAGATTCACTCCTAAAACAAAGAGCAGTGAGTTGTACCTCTGTAGCCATCTTAGTCAGCAAGGGGAAATGTTAGTCACACACTTATTTGCTGATTGACATCAGTTACTTGTCACTCCCTACAGGTCACTAAAAGGTACGGCCCCTTCTTGCATTCTTAACAAGCCATTTCCATTCAGCAGCATTCTGTCTTACACAGTGTTGGAAAAACAATTTTTTTCAAAATGAAGAAAAACCTTTCCCTTTTTCTTCCCCAGAAACCTGCCATTTCACAAGATAAAGGCAAATTAAGTTCCGCATGTATTTCTATTTTGTTCTTGCTGAGAGGAGTTGATTCATGCTGAGAGGTGTACAATTTAAGGGTACCCGTCTGAAGAAAATGGATTCAGTATCCCATTAAAAGCATGAAATTCATTGGTACTAGTATGTATCTGTCTCCTTGCAGTCTCTGAGAGTCAACCAGGGCATGACAGCTGTCTAAACAGTGTAGCTACAGCAGGCAAGGGAGAGAGTGCTCAAAGTTCAAGATGATAGTCTCTCCAATTCATTACCTTTGGAGTTTTTCCTGAACTCAGCGTTGTAATCGGCAGCCTCTCATTTCTTCTTCAGTATATCTGGACTTTTTGTTTTCTTTTCTAACAAACCCTCTCACATAGTGCTGGATGTGTGTCTTGTGGGATGGGTTGGGGAGGGGTACTTGTTTTTGTGCCTTCAATTTTACTTTAGGTGAATATTGTACCTCTCTTCCCTATCCCTTCCTCTATCCTTTGGTCATTTCTATCCTGGAACCCTCCCCTTCCAGGTAGAAGGGAAGGGGATGAGAAAATTAGGTAAGTTGTATATTGGGGGGGTACCTTATTAGTTTTGGTTTTTTTCCTTTCTTTAATCCCTACTTAGATGAGAAACCCAGGATCTAGAAGTTTCTCTAGTACCTCCAATTGATATATAGCTCCAAGTAGAGGGAATTTGTATATAACAAGGCTGGATTTGAACTCAAGTCTTCCTGACTCTGGCCTGGCAATCTATCCACTGTAATACCTAGTTGTAAGATACTGCACCACAAATTTTTCCAAATATCATCGTTCGATCTTGTCCTCCAATGTACTCTCTGTCTATAACCTCAGTTCTAGTTGTTTGTACTGATAATACTAACTCAAGGATTTCTCATTTCATTGAATATTATAATCTCTGCAATAAGTTTGTTATCCACTTCAGTTGGCCCAGTGCTGTCTGTGCTCTTAGTAAGATCCTTTAGTATTCTTACATAGGCAGTCTTGGCTGAGCAACTGCAACTACTATTAAGAAGGTTTTATAGTGTTGCCATACTCAATACAATAAACACAATGTCATTTGTAGGCAGAAACATTTGCCTACAAAAGATATTACTAAGTTGCAATCACCATCCTATGGGCCAGTTCTCTTATGTGTATCATGAATGTGAGAGAAGATGTTTCGATGTGCCATGAGAAGATAGAGAAGATATTACTTGATGTCTTTGGATACATGATCTAGTTCCTCCACTTCCATTTCATCATTTTTTGGGGCAGGGGAGAACATATTTCTTTTAATTTTATTGTTGTTGTTGAATCGTTTCAGTCATGTCTGACTCTGGGAACTCAGTTTGGTTTTTCTTGGCAAAGATACTGAAGTGGTTTGCCATTTTCTTCCCCAGCTCATTTTACACATGAGGAAACTGAGGCAAACAGGGTTAACTGACTTGCCGAGAGTATCATAGCTAGTAAGTATCTGGAGAAGGATTTGAACTTGGGGCCTTTTGATTCCAAGGCCAGCACTCTATCTACTAAGCTACCTAGCTACCCATCCTTCAATTTACTTGTGTTTCCTGGTTTCTTTTGTAGACAGAATATTCAAATGGATGTGATTTAGTTCCTCCAGCTATATATTCAGTTGGTTATTGAACAAAGATTGCACATTTAGATTACCAACAATTAAATTCATCTTTATAGGTTATTTAAACTAGCACTTTCAGTTCCCTTTTCTGCCATCCCACACAAGAAGGGGCCATACAATATTGAGGGGAATTTTGTACTTTTATTTGTTTCATGGGTCACTGTGGACCAAAGTTCGTCTCCTAGCAGCCACCCTTCTGGTTCTATCTCTACCCAATTAGCTAGGCAGGTATTCAGATAACACCTCCCTATTTCTGGAATCATACTTGAAACCTTTCCAATTTGTTTGAACCTACCAGAGTTTATATTCCACTGGCCTAGACTTCAAAGAAAAAGAGTCACTTCCCTATTATGATGAAATTATAACTTGCATTTATAGAATGACTTATTTTTTTGAAAACATTTTTTGTATATAAAATCATACATTTGAATGATTAAAATGCATTGAAGTACTTTTGTGGAGGCAGTCTTAAAAAAAGATTTAAAAAAATATTAGAAATTGTATTTGGCATGTCAAATTTTCATTTGTCATATATTTATCAATGTAAGTGCTGGTGGTTCCTAACCTGGGATTCCAAGATTTTAGGGAGTCCATGAACTTGGATAAGAAAAAAAAATCACATCCTTATTTTCACCAACCTATGGTTTCCTTTGTAATCTATATATTTTATTTTATTCATTTACAAACATTATTCTGAGAAGGTTAAACCATAAGTTTAACCAGTCTGTCAAAGAGATGCATGATGCATTAAAAAGGTTAAGGGCCCTTGATTTAAGCCATCATATAAAATTGGAAAAGAACGCTATCTTCTTTTGCTTCTTGTACTTTCCAGAATACTGTCTTCTTTTACTTTTTAGGTGAAGAAAATAAATGCTTCTGCCTATGGCTAATTTTATTTTACAGACTCAGGTTGCAATGAAAACCATATGATAAGGGATGAAATGGAAGGTGGAAGAAATTAAATTTCTCCATTATCTCTGGCACCTGATTCCTGTTAGGATCTTGGGCTATGGGCCAAGGCTTATTTGCATGGTTTAATTACCTAGAAAAATTAGTAGCAGGGCTTTTAACAGACCAAATATTTGTTTTTTGGCTAGCCATTGTCTTGGGATGTAATTATAACTTGCATTTCTGTGCAGCTTTAGACTTTTCAAAAGTTTTTTTTTAATATAATATCATCAGTTTGATTCTAATAGTGGTGGGGAGGGTAGTCCAGGCAGGGCCAACTCTTGAAAAATTGTGAGGTGGGAGCAATGCTTGATGTCATCCTAATTCTCTTCAGATTTTTCTCCCTCCTGAAACCTCACTCCAGTCTAACTCCCCCCTAGCTGTGGTGCTCATTTTGTTGAAACTCTTATTCTCAAGAAGGTGGTACCCATTTTCAGGTTTATGTGGATCCCTAGATCTCTAGAGATGGAAGAGCTCACTGTTCTTCACATTTTTTTTTCATCATGGAACCCTTGGGCAGTGTGGGAAAACCTATGGGCCCCTTCTTAGAATCATGTTTTTAAATAAATAAAATAAAAGACATTAAATTACATAGGAAACCAATTATATTGAAATACAGTTATCAAAATATTGAGAGTTCACAGACCTAAGGTTGGGAATCTCTGACGCAACCTTGTCTTCTCATGTCCCACCCATTTTACTGATAAATAAGCTACCTTGCTAAGGTATTAGTTGATAATAGCTTAAGGTGTGATACATCCAAATCATATTTATATTTAATAGAGAATTCTAAAACAGAAACAACTTTCAAATCCCCAAAGAATTGTTATTGTCCTATCTCCAGTGGTAGTGTGAGAGGTAAGAAGGGTCACAGGAGAGTGGATATATTTGGGACACCGTCTCCAGCAGAGCATGCTCATAAATCACCTCTATTGGTGTTGCCCAATCTGCCTACCTCTGAAGTTAGCTCTGATAGAAGGTGTCATAATATTACAGTTTTAAGGAATCTATCTATGCCAAATCAATTAGTCCATAAGTATTTACTGAGTACTAAGAGTAGGCTGGGGATACAAAGACAGTCCCTGCTCTCAAGGGATTCACAATCTGATAAGAAAGACAACATGCAGACGACTCTACACACAAAAATACCTTAGAAATAGGGAAGGCCATAAAATTAAGGATGACAGAGAAAGGCCTGTTGTAGAAGGTTGTATTTTAGCTGTGACTTGAAGGAAACCAGGAGGTAGAACTAAGGAAGATGAGCAATCCAGGCAAAGGGGAGAGCCAGTGAAAATGTTCAGAATCTGGAGTGCCTTGTTCAAAGAACAGTGGGCCAGTATCATTGGATCACAGATTACAGGGAGAAGAGGTATAGGATATAAAAAGACTGGACAGGTTGGTGGAAGGAGGTGTGGGACATTTAAGGAAACTGAGGTTAAGTCACTTAACCAAAGTCACACAGTTAGTATCTGAAGTGGGATTTAAACCCATCTTACTAACTCCTAAACACTCTAGCTATTTCAAAGATTGGGAAATTACATAACAGGAATGACTTGCCAAAAGTCACACTAGTTGATGACAGAGGTGGAAGCCAAGTTTTTTAATTGCTAGTTTAGTATTCTTTCCTCTGTACCATATTGTCTCTTTGAACAAACTCAATATTTTTTAAAATGAAAACACATACCCATTCTGCCCCAATCAAACCAAAAGGTTTTGTAATTAAGGTCAAGGTAAAGAGGTGAGCGAGCTTTCTCTTATTATACAATGTGATGACATTTGATCCTCGTGATGGCAGTCTATCTAATTAAACAAAATTACTGTGAAAAGTAAAAAGAGAAAACAAAGCTCTCCAACATTACACAAAATGGGATGCAAAACTCACTCTTGAACTGAGTTTTTAAATACAGCTATTGTCAAAGAAAATGATAACACTAATAATAGACTTAATTGTAATTTCAGGTGGCATCTGCTTATTTCAAAGATTTTCACTTACTGCTAATTGGAGTCATCTGTTTGGCAACATCAATAGAAAAATGGAATTTACACAAGAGAATAGCTTTAAGAATGGTGATGATGGTGGGTGTGAACCCTGCATGGTAAGTCCTCCATTTGCTATTCCCCGGTCTATATTTTGAACAGAACATTTTGTGCAAAACAAATAAGCCTATAAAGTAATGTAGAACCAGAGAATTGTTTGTGTCACAGTATAATTCCTGACCGTTTTTCTTTCCCTCTGCTGAAATGAAACTGATATGTGATACATTTGAGCTACAAGAGAGAGAACTTTTTTCCTTTCACTGCAGTTCTAATTATAGAGGAGTTGGGATAAATGCCCACCTCTATCTCACCTTTTCTTTCTCATTGAAAACCACATCTGAGAAAAGTACTGAACCACAGCAAACAAGATTGATATCCTTCAAATTTGCTTCCAAGTAGACCTTGTTTATGGACTGGTTATAGTGTATTCATGGCAGGTATAACACTGAATGTCCCTGATCATGCTTAGTTAGGCTATCATGCCAAAAGAAACAGAAGAGATCAACAGTGGTTAAATAAATCTTAGGTCAAAATTTCCCTTTTTTAAAGCCAAGGTGAAAAGTGAAACCCTTGGTTAACCAGTCGCATCTGCAGAACGTGAAATAATACATTTTTTCTTCACTGAATGGGCTAATTTATTTATTTTTCCTTCATTGAATTAGCAAGTCATAGACAAACACAGTCCATACCTTGGTAAGGTCATGGTTACAAGGAAAGCAGAGCTTCTAATCTCAAAGGCATAGGAGGAATACCTTTATGCTCTAAGATATTCTTTAGCCAGTCCCATTCTTTATTTTAATGTCATAAAATCATATTGAATTTGATGCAAAAATCCATTTTAGGTTAGGCATCCACTGGTGTGCTATCAATTATGAAGCAAAGTAACTTCTCTAAAAAAAGCTCAAAGGGGATCATTTGCGGTTCATGTGTTTTATTGGTGCTCTTCAAAGGAAAAATACTTTGTGTCAGTTCTGTTCCCTGAAATTTTAAAAATGGTTGTTTTTTTCAAATGGAAATTTTCCCCATCAAAAGGAAATACTCTTGAGAGGATTTCTTGTGTTGCTATGAAAATGGGAGTGGCTCAAAGGACAGGTGAAACACCACTGAGAAAAAAGGAGTTGTTACCAGTGTCCCTTTTCCTTGTCCCACCCTAACTCAGAGATGTTTTAATTGATTGCAAGAGGGAGCCCCATTAGCTATGTGGCTGAGAAGTACTTAATTGTAGGGTTTTTTCTACTACCAAGAATTTTAACTAGAACTATTGCTCCTCTTCAATGCCATTTGCTGAAGGGTCCATTAATGGCTTGCCAGAATCATGGGTAAAATGCACTAATATTTTTTGGCTTACATTTTCATTGTGAAGTATCATTTTGTATTAAAAAAATTTTTTTCATCTAGCCAGACTATTATGTACCAAGTGTGGTAATCAGCACATCCAAGAGGGCATGGCTACTTCATGTGCATGAATTTGTAAGCCATTTAGACAATTTCCTAAGATTATGCAAAGTTGTGCTTCCAAATGATTTTTTTGGGGTCAGCCTACCTTGTGAGAGGTTAGATCTTGGCTAGGTATGTATGTGTGTGTTATTTTATTATTAAAATCTATATAGAACATTCTAAAGAAATGTGTGTAACAATGTTTTAAAGGAAGGCGGAAAACTATTGAGGAAGTAGAATAGGACCTTCTTGACTATCCATTGTAAGGGAGAACTGGGAGAACAAGAATAATATAGACAACTCCAAAATTACTTTTTGATCATAAATCCTTTCCCACTATCAAACTTTGTGTCAGAATTGTTAACAAACAACAATTGATTTGTTTTCCCAGATCCTCCCTTTCCTTGTCCATTCTTGTTAGAGGTTTTAATAAGCAGAGGAATGCCCACAAGGTAAAGAGAAAGAATGAGAAGCAGTGAAGTATGGCAGATAGAAAAGTAGATTTGGAAGCAGATAACCTGAGTTCACATCACACACACACACCCCACCCCCGCACTCTGCTACCTTCTCCTGTGTGACCATGGACAAGTCTTTTCATCTCTCTGGCACTCTGTTCTTGCACCTATAAAATGAGAGATCTTGGCTTGATGGTCTTTGAGTTCACTTTCTGTTTTAATTACTCTAAGTAAGGGACATTGAAGATGCCAAGGTCATCCACTGCATCCCAGGCCATTGCCAGTCATCTTGACTTTTGTCTTGCCACTGGACTTCGATGACTCTGGAAGAGAGAGTGAGGCTGATGACTGTGCAACCCTGACTCACTTAAATCCAATTCATTAGTGAGTCAAGACATCACCCCATGATGTCATTGGTCCTCTTCAGAAAGGATGAGCAGCAACAAGCAATGGACCAGAATGATCAGCTTCCCCAATTCACAAGTTGACTTGTTTGTTGTCATGGGCAGTACTAACTAGGGGTAGGGATGGTCTGTGTTCGGATACATATGTAATTTGATGAAGCATGCCTCTCTGCCCCAGATTCATGGGGCACTGAAAAGCAATGACATTTCTGAGCTCTGCTAGGACAGGGATCCTTGTGACATTGTGCTATGAATTGCTTTGGTTTCTGCACAGCTTTGACTGGATTCTCAATTCCCTATCTTGGTAGAATGCTAACGCTTTGTGATTTTGAAAGGCTACTTTTCAATGCACATCCAGTGTTCCTTATAATGAAATAATATCTGGCTAACCAATCCTGATGGAACAATAACAGACTAAAGGCCCTTTCATTTCAGGCTTACGTTGGGATTCATGATCAGCACTGCCTTCTTGTCTATGTGGCTTAGCAACACCTCCACTGCTGCCATGGTGATGCCCATCGTAGAGGCTGTAGCTCAGCAGATCATCAGTGCTGAAGCAGAGATTGAGGCCACACAGATGACTAATTTCAGTGGACCTACCAACCACGGATTGGAAATTGATGGTATCAAGTTTCAATATAGCCACAGTAAGATCTAATAGGGCAAGGTACCTTAAACTCAGGAATTCTGGGGTGCATTCCCAGTTAAGCTATCATTGGACTGTGTCACTTCAAACTTTCTACATTCACTCTTATTTATACAAAAGGAATAATACTATATTTACAAGAGATTCTACTGCCAATCAATGCTTTTATTTATGCCATAGAAATAATTATAGTATATGTAGTTGAAAGAATATTCAATCAGGAGACAGATTCAGATCTTGGCTCTGGCATTTACTATTAGTGGGAATCTGCAGAAGTCATTTAGTGTCTCAGCCTTTGTTTCTTCTTCTCTGAGATGGGTCTATTGTTACTTTCACTACTTTAGAAACTTGTGAAGAAAGTACTTTTGTAAATTGCTATATGAAAATAAGATCTTCTTATTCAGGATCAGGTCAACACATTTAGAATTACATGGGACCCTAGAGCTCATCTATTTCAACCTCTCATTTTACAAATGAGGATATTGAATCTTAGAGAAGTTAAGCAACTTATCCAAGGTTACGCAGGTAGCAACAGCAGAGTAGAGATTGGAACTCAGGTCTTGGGACTCCAAATTCAGAATTCTTTTCATTGTACCTTACTGCTTCATTCAGTATGCATTCATAAATGCTTTATTAAATGCCTAGTGTGTGCAAAGCATCATGCTAGGCACTGGGGGAAATATAAAGTTTAGATAAAACATTTCCCCTGCTTTCATGAGTGTATAAGGTAAGAAAGTCAGGAACTACAATATGCATTATATGGTAACTGCATTAAAGAGCAGCAAAATAAAGTGCTAGATGGAGAGTGAAAGGTAAGGTCATTATTAACTTGGGGAAGCAGGAAAGGTCACATAAAAGAAGTGGCATTAGAAGGGGCAGCTAGGTGGTGCAGTTGATAGAGCACTGGCCCTGAAGTCAGGAGGACCTGAGTTCAAATCTGGCCTCAGACCAAACACTTGACATTTACTAGCTGTGTGACACTAGTAACCCCAATTGCCTAAAAGAGAGAGAGAGAGAGAGAGAGAAGAGAGAGAGAGAGAGAGAGAGAGAGAGAGAGAGAGAGAGAGAGGAGACAGACAGACAGACAGAGACAGAGAGAGACAGACCAAACACTTGACATTTACTAGCTGTGTGACACTAGTAACCCCAATTGCCTAAAAGAGAGAGAGAGAGAGAGAGAGAGAGAGAGAGAGAGAGAGACAGAGAGAGAGAGAGAGACAGAGAAGAAGAAGTGGCATTAGAGTTAGGCTTTAAATGATCAGTAGAATTCAGCAAACAAAAGTTAAAGCAGGGGCGTTCCAGGTGTAGGAAAGGACAATTATTAGGAACAATTGCCGTGATAGGTGCAAGACAGCTTGACTCTTAAAACTACCACCCATTCTTCCAATGGAATGCTCTCTCTTCATCTGCAGATCTTCTCCATTGTCCTTCCCTCACACTTCTTCCCCTGCCCCAAGTTAAACTTACTAGTATGCTATGTAGAGTCTTATAATCTTTTTGCATGCAGTGCCAGCCATTACCATGGTTGCTTCTGAACGATGGGATGTCCTTACTGCCATTTGTATCTGCCTCCTCCCCCAAACCAAGGAAAATATGGAGGGAAATTTATGTTTATAGAAGTTGATTGCTTTATTAAATTGCTGGATAAAATGATTTTGTTGCCAAATAAAGTTTATTTTCATTCTCCTATCAATCCTCCTTTCTCAAGCCTCTCTACAACCCCTCCTTCCCTCACAGATGCCTACTTTATTTAATTTATCTTTCTTTCAATTAATATCTTGTAGAAGATGATAGCTGCTCTGAAAAAAATGACCTGAAAGAGAAAGACACTCCAGTTTCAGGGTAAATAATAGAAATTCTTTGATTCATATTTTTCAAATCATATTTTAATAAAATTATGACCTATACCAATTTATTTTTTCAGATACAGTAATGATGCAAGGAAAATGTCAGGCAAGATGGAGTCGGAAAAGGTACATTAAATTTGATTCTTTTCTAAACAAAGTTGTGTGAAGTCAATATGCTAGGTAGGCAGGTACTTGGGTGTGTATTTCTAAACCCACATAGCAAATTGAGTTGTTTTTCTTCCCTAAGTCAGGCTGGTGTCTCAAGGCTCCATGAAGCCCTAAAAGTAAATTTTTTAAAATTCCCAGCCAGAAACATTTTTTTCTGCCTCAGAAAAAAAATTTCATTAGTCTTTTACACACCCAGCAGCATCATAATGATGGCAATGAGAATCTAAAAAAGAAATACAGTAGTAAGTCCATGACCAGCATTTTCTTTTTCTTTTTTTTTTTAACTGAGATTTTGCTTGTTAAGCAGTCTCATTTTAATTAAGCTTTCATTCACTTCTTTCCTGTTTTGAGGGTGGAGGATGTTGTTAATCTTCATTGCAGGTTATAAGTCCTAATTATGGGTCTAATGAAGGAAAATGTTTCTATAGTTACTAGAGAGTTTTATTTATGATATAATAAGAGTATATCTAGGTTTAAAGAAGTACCTACTGTCAAATAGAAGATGGAAGAATTGCTTAAAATATCTTTAGATATTGAAGAACGGAAGAAAGAAAACCTAGGAATTTATCCCAGCAAATTCAGTTCTCAAAATAAATCAGTATGCTATATATAATAATAAAAAACTCCACTAGCTTTCTCAGGAAACAATATATTCTAAGACCACTGAAAAATAATACTGCATAGAAATAGAGCTATGGTAACCATGGTATTAGTAGTAGGAGTAGGGGGATATTAGTTTCTTCCACACTATAATGCTTTACTATATAAGTCAATGTGGTGAGGGGAAAAATTGTTGCTTACAGAAATCTTAAAGAACAACAGTTTTTTCCCCTTCTGTTATAAAGAAAAGATAAACTGAAAACTTTTGTACCCAAAGTTGTTTAAACTGAACTTTTTTTGAATCTAAAAGCTATCTAAATAGTATGAAAAAATTAACAACTACATATATATAAAATCATTTAATACTGCAGGGTTTTACCACTTTAAAAAATGGACCTGAGATTTCATCAGCGTAGGGAGCTCCATGTGAGACACATTCTCCATCAATGCAAATTGGCACCTTCTCTGCAATTTAGTTTTAAAGAAGTGTCCTGGGCACTGAGATACCACTTACCCAATTTCAATAATTTTTATAAACTTTTTTCAGACATCTAGATGGTCTACAAAAGGTTGAATTAGAAATTCTTTTCATATATTGTTCTTATAGCTTAAATTTGGCAACTAGGGAAGGAGCTACATTTTTGAAAAGGAGAGAGCAGAAAAGGAAGATGAGTTGAAAGCTACTGCAATGGGTCAGGTGCAAGCTGAGAAAATTTTGAACAAGCCTTAGGGCTGCGAGATGGGAAATGATGAAGGATGTGGGAAACACTACAAAGGGAGAAGTGACAGAATTTAATAACCATGTGGAGCAAGAAAAGAGCAGAGGGCGAAGAGGTCTTCAAAGTTTTCAGCTAAGAAACTTTAAAATTCTTTAGTAGCTCATGTAATTAGGGAGGGGTTGAAAAATAAATAAGGCATGCTACATTTTGCATTAATTTATGTGCATATGTGTATGACTATATATGCATATGTGTATATATGTATGTATGTATGTATACATATGCACACTATATATAGTATGCATATACACGTACACATATATAGTATATACATATGCATGTATGCACTGTATGTGTATACACACAATATGTACACATTATACAAAGATAGACACACACATTTGGTCCTGACCTATGATTAAGTCCTGGTACAGAAAACCCCTCCATCAATGCATACTAGTAAGTCATCTGAAACTTAGTCTTCATGACTTTCTTAGTGGAACTGAGAGGTTAACTTATCATCCTCTTATTTTTTTTACTATATGATTTTAATGATACTCTACCTAATGAAAACATATACCTCGTATACATATTTAGTATACAACACATAAAATTGTATTCCACTTTATAAAAACTCACTTGAGCAAATTATTACTTTTTTTTTTACTGATTTTAACAAGGCCTGCATGCTGGTGAAAGAGCCATCCATTAGTGCTGTGAGTACATGAACACATATAAGAATAAAAACATTATTCTTTGTGCCAAGATTTTGTAACTCTCTCTTTGCTTTTTCTATCATTTAGCTTGGTGTTTGGCACACAGCAGTTAACTTCATAAATCTGATTTAATTATTGTCAGTTGTGCAGCATTAATTTTTTTTGTTTAAAAGTACTTTTTCCCCCAGTTACATGTAAAGAAAATTTTTAGCATTAATTTTTATGAGATTTTGAGTTCCGAAGTTTTCACCCTCCCTCCCCTCCCCTCTCCTGAAAATGGTAGGTAGTTTGATATAGTTTATACGTGTGCTATCATGTAAAAAATATTCCCATATTAGTTACAGTTGTGAAAGAAGAAATAGAGCAAAAAAAAAAACATGAGAAAGAATAAAATAAGTAAAAAAAAATATGCTTTGATCTGCATTCAGAATCCATCAGTTCTTTATCTGGATATGGTTATATTTTCCTTTGTGATTCCTTTTTACTTGTCTTGGATCATTGTGTTGCTGAGAAGAGCTGCATCATTCATAGTTGATCATCACGCAATGTTGCTGATACTGTGTACAATGTTTTCCTGGTTCTGCTCATTTCACTTTGCATCAGTTTGTACAGCTCTTTCCAGGATTTTCTGAAATCTGTCTGCTCATGATTTCTCATTGTGCAATGGTATCCCATTATATTCATATACCACAGCTTGTTCAGCCATTTGATGAGCATCTCCTCAGTTTCCAATATTTTACCACAACAAAAAGGGCTGCTTATAAATATTTTTGCACATGTAGGTCCTTTTCCCTTTTTTCATGATCTAGTAGTGGGATTGCTGGATCAAAGGGTATGCAAGTTTGGTTGCCTTTTGAGCATAGTTCCAAATTGCTCTCCAGAATGGTTGGATTAGTTTACAACTCCACCAACAGTGCATGCATGTCCCAATTGTTTTACATCCTCTCTAACATTTATTGTTTTCCTTTTTTTTTGTCAAAGCAGCCAACCTGATAGGAGTGAGGTGGTATCTCAGTTATTTTAATTTGTATTTCTCTAGTCACAAGTGATTTAGAGTACTTCTTCATATGCCTATGGATAGCTTTGATTTCTTCATATGAAAACTGCCTCTTCACATAATTTGACCATTTATCAATTGGGGAATGACTTGTACTCTTACAAATTTGACTTAGTTCTTTATATATTTGAGAAATGAGGCTTTTATCAGAGACACTGTAAATATTATTTCCCAGCTTTCTTGGTTGCATTGGTTTTGTTTATACAAAAGCTTTTTAATTTAATATAATCAAAATTATCTATTTTACACCTTGTAATGTTCTCTGTCTCTTGTTTGGTCATGAATTCTTCCTCTCCCCATAGATCTGACAGGTAGACTATTCCTTACTTTTATGGTATCACCCTTATGTTTAAATCATGCACTGATTTTCAACTTATCTTGGTATATAATGTGAGATGTTGGTCTATACCTAGTTCAAGTCTTTTGTTTTCCAGTTTTCCCAGTAGTGTTTGTCAAATAAAGAGTTCTTATCTCAAAAGCTGGGGTCTTTGGGTATATCAAACATTAGATTACGATGGTCATTGATTACTGTGTCTTGTATACCTAATCTATTCCACTGATCTGCCACTCTGCTTCTTAGCCAGTAACAGATAGATTTGATGATTAATACTTTATAATATAGTTTGAGATCTGGTATTGCCAGGCCATCTTTCTTTGTATTTTTTCCCCCATTAAATCCCTTGATATTCTTGATCTTTTGTTCTTCCAGATGAATTTTGTTGTTATTTTTTCTAGGTCTATAAATGTTTTTTTGGTAGTTTGATTGGTATGGCACTGAATAAGTAAATTAGTTTAGGCAGAATTGTCATTTTTGTTATATTGACTCGGCCTACCTATGAGCAATTGACATTTTCTCAATAGCTTAGATCTGACTTTATTCGCGTGAAAAGTGTTTTATAATTGTGTTCATATAGTTCCTGGGTTTGTCTTGGCAGGTAGACACCCAAGTATTTTATATTGTCTACAATTATTTTAAATGGAATTTCTCTATCTTTTGCTGCTGGGCTTTATTGGTCATATAAAGAAATACTGATGATTTATGTGGCTTTATCTTATATATCCTGCAACTTTGCTAAAGTAGCTAATTATTTTAAGTAATTCTTTTAGTTGATACTCTAGGGTTCTCTAAGTATACCCTCATATTATCTTCAAAAAGTGATAATTTTGTTTCCTCATTGCCTGTTCTAATTCCTCCAATTTCTTTTTCTTCTGTTATTGCTAATGCTAAAGTTTCTAGTACAAAATTGAATAATAGTGGAGATAACTGGCATCCTTGTTTCACCCCTAATCTTATTGGGAAGGCTTCTAGCTTATCACTATTGCAGATAATGCTTGCTTATGGTTTTAGAGAGATATTGCTTATCATTTTAAGGACCACTCCCTTTATTCCTCTCTAGTGTTTTTAATTGGAATGGATGCTGTATTTTGTCAAAATCTTTTTCAGCATCTATTGAGATAATCATATGATTTCTATTGGTTTTGTTATTCATATAGTCAATTATGTTGATAGTCATCCTAATATTGAACCCACACTGCATTCTTGGTATAAAATCCTTGTGATATATTGCTGTAATCACTTTGCTAGTATTTTGTTCAAAATTTTTACATTGATATTCATTAGGGAAATTAGTCTATAATTTTCTTTCTCTGTTTTAACTCTTTCTGATTTAGGTATTGGCACAATATTTGTATTATAAAAGGAGCTTGGTAGGACTCCTTTATCTATTTTTCCAAATTGTTCATATAGTATAGGAATTAATTGTTCTTTAAATGTTTGGTAGAATTCACTAGTGAACCTATCTGACCCTAGGGATTTTTTCCTAGAGAGTTCATTAATTGTTCAATTTCTTTTTCTATGATGGGGTT